CTGAGGATCCTCATGTAGGAGTAGAGGATTAAAATGAGAGGAATGATGATGGAGATGATGGTGTAGATGAGTCCGTAGATGTTGTTGATTCTGGTGTCAGAACAGGCCAGTTTAACTATGGAGTAGTTGCCACAGTCAACTCTGTTGATGACGTTCCCGCACAGCTGCAGAGGCGCACTTAGTGAAATCAAAACCACAATCGCAAGAGAAGGTAACACCCACGTCAGAGCTACGAGTACGGCCACCTTTTTAGACGTCATACTCACTTTATACTGCAAAGGATAACAGATAGCGAGATATCTGTCATAAGACATGACAGCCAAGTTTAAAACCTCCACACACCCATAACAATAAAGACAGAAAATCTGCAGGAAACATAAAGGAACAGAAATAGTGTGAATGTCAGAGAGGATCTGAACCAGCAGGAAAGGAAACAACGCTGAACTACCAAACAGCTCGTTAGCAAACAGACTGACCAGAAATATGTACATGGGCTCATGTAGGCTTCTGTTCATGCAGATAGCCACGATAAGCAGCACATTAGCACTGATAATTAAAACATACAGACACAAAATAATCATAAAATAGAAATATTTCAACATGCCAGTGTCAAAATAGGCACCAAGTGTAAAGTCGGAAACCTGTGTGAAGTTGATCATCGTCCAGCTTCAGAAAAGACTTCACAGGATGAACTCTGTCACATTTTGTTTTAGATCTGTTTTAGATCTATTTGTGTGCAGCTCAAGCAGTTAACACAAGGAAACAGCTGTGAAACGTTTGCCCTAACTTACCATTCTGTAGCTGTGCGACACTGATCTAACACAGCACAGTGAGTCCTGGCAGTCACCGGACTGGGACCCCTCCTCACTGAGCTGATGTCGGCTTCTTTTATCCTCTTCAAGCATCTACGTCACAATAGGAGGTACTGCACTGACACAGCAGCTCTGAACTCTCCTTTCCTGTGACTTTCATGTGTTTCTGTACATCAGTGTTAAAGCTGATGTGCCTGTAAAGTATACAACAAGCATGAGTACATCCCTGCGGAATATCGCTTAAATGTCAAATTATTCTGAACTGTATCACTGTACAGTCATGACATGACTTTTAAGTTAGTTTTCATGCTGGAATATTATGAGGAGTATTTTGGTTTATCCACAGACAGTCAGGGTGCATCTCAAAATGTCATCAACACCTTTTGCTTTCATGCAGCCCCATATCAT